GGAAGGAAGGAAGGAAGGAAGGAAGGAAGGAAGGAAGGGAGGGAGGGAGGGTCTGAGCAAATTTCCCCTTTCCTCCTCTCAACCACAAAATAACCAGCCATGACAGACAGGCTCAGTTAGGCTCCCCTCTGCTTCCTGTGCAAACTCTGGTCCAACATGTTATTTCCATCTAGAAAACCCTCAAAGCCAAGGTTGTTCCAACAGAAACCCTCTCCTCCGAGTCTGGAAGAGAATCAAGAGACTTTCAACCCTGCAGCCCCTGTGGCTGATGTGGTTGTCAGGCTGGCCTTCACTCCAGAGCTCCTCAGCATCCCTGAGCAGCTTGGTCTTTCCTCCGTCTGTGACATGAATGTCTGTGATGCATCCTCGTGATGACCGACCTGTGCTGTCTGTTCTCTGTTGTCTGTTGAAATTCTTTGTCATGTAGGTAAAATGCAAGATGGCGGTGCGGACAGCAGCCAGAGCAAAGGTAACCACAGCCATGAGGACCTCCCCATGGGCCTTGAATCACACGGGGGCAGGGATTCACTGGGGTCGGGGTAGACAAACCCACACTGTGGGGTCTGGCATCTTCTGGGGTGATACTCATAATACTGGGCAAGATAAAAGAGCTGTCATGGTGAGGTGAGGGGGTGCTCCAGGGCCAGGGTCTCCTGAGCCTGCCGGTCAACTGGGCTCTTTGAGACCCTTATAGGTGGAAGGGTGAAGCAGTAAAGGATTGGCCAGTTCTCTGTCCAAAAAAACCACAGGCCCTTCTGTTCATCCCACACTGAAGATGACATTCTGGCTGGAGATGGGGACTTGGCACTCAGGCCTGGGACACCTTTTTTCTCTTTTAACCCATACTTTGTGTCTCTCCTGTTGCTAGCTCCCTAGCATCCTAACAGCTTGGCTCCAGGGGCACGCTGGGGAAACCCATATCTTTCTGACTGTTGGTAATGCCAAGGGCCCATTTAGACCCTAATGAACCTGGCCTACCCCCTTCTTGCTGGGAATCCAGGGTAGAGTCCTGCCAGTTCCACACGTGTCCCAGATTCCAGGTCCCAAGTACCACTGGGACCTAGAGACTGTAACTGGAAGTGGAAGATCCCCTCCTAGGCTTATTTGCCAGCCATGTGGGGCCCAGACAGGGCAGCCAGCCTTTCTTCTGGGCAGGCAAGCTGGGTGCCAAGCATCCCAACCTGCAGGCTGACCTGTACATGTGTCTGTGTGCACATGTGTACGCGCTCTGCCCCTGCAGCCAAGCAGCAGGATGGGGCAGCTGCTATGGAGATGCAACCCCTGAAGAGCGCAGAAGGTGGTGATGCGGATGACAAGAAAAAGGCCAACTTGCACAAGAAGGAGAAGTCAGTGCTGCAGGGCAAGCTCACCAAACTGGCAGTACAGATCGGCAAGGCAGGTAAGCACACAGCAGGGAATACACACCCCCAGCTCTGCCCCACACAGCCCTCTTTCATCTCACCTGAGAAAGAATTATCTTATTAAGATAGTCCTTGAGGCCTGCCCTGCTCCAGAAAAAGCCAGACTGCAGACTGCTCTAGCCATGGCTCTGAGAACGTGGGCCCATAGCTTCCCCCAGCTTGGAGGTTCTGCCTTCTCTGCAAATGGGGATAATTCTTGTCCCACTGTGGCAAATTGCTATGAAAATTAAAGCCTATTTGTAGACAGAGTGCCTTGCCTGTGACCTGTGCTGCAGCTGAGAGGAGGGCCTGGAGTTCCTTGTAGCACAGACTTCTGGGGACAGTGGGAGCCATAGAAGAGGACAAGCAGGGATGGATTTGGGCTTGATAACAGCTGTCCTAGCTGCAATGCAAAAGGACTGAAGAGGATGAGGGCAGAACCAGGAAACCAGACAGAATCCCTTGTCTGAGCATCAACAAACAACCCAGGCTTCCCAACTGAGATGCTAGCTGCTTGTGATGGCTGGTGACAGTTCCCTGGCCCAGGGAGCTGAGCCCAGCTGCAAGGGTGAGCCCCAGCCCTCCAGCACAGCCTTGACCTCCCCCTGTGCTGAGGATGTGCGAACAGCAAGGCCTCCCACCTGGCTCCTGAGACCTCCGTGGCTGGCTCCATTTCTAATTATAGATACCACAGCATGAGGAGGGTGGCAAATTATAGGTTCAGTTGTCTATATTTAAACTTGGGGGCCTGGTGACAGCTCTCGGCTGGCTGCCGGGAGTTTGGCTTCCCACCCCTGCGGCTGTCAGGAGGGGATAGCATCGTGCTCTGATGCTCCACAGCTGGAGCTGGGGGTGGGGGTAGGGAGAGCTGGGCCCAGGGATTTCCTCCCTCACAGCCATTGCTGTCACTAGCAGGAGACTCCACAGTAGTGTGTAGCACCAGGGGATCAGGAAACTAAATGATGATAAAAACCCCATGGTTCTGAAGTCCTCAGTCCCCATCCCCACCACACCCTGCCAAGAATATAGTTCACAGTCAAGCAATCCCAGACTCTCAGTCTCCCTCTGCTTCCCTCTGGGGCTGAACGCCTCCTTGGTGGCCAGGGATTTATGGCCAGATGCTCCAAGGTGAGCCTGTCAGGCAAAAACTGCGAGTCAGAGTGGGAGACACCAGATAATGCTGAGATATATGGAGAATTCCTAGTCTGTGCTTCACTCCATGGGACCACTGGACCACAAGCTGCACGACAGGGCATGCCCACCATGCATAGATGACTGGACTTTGGGGGCTCCATCAGTCGTGGAATCCTGGTCATCCATTTGGGGCAGCTTCCCCTGTAGGCCCTTAGCAGCAGGTGGACACAGCCTCCACAGTACCTGCAGCCATTGACAGATGGACACACTGACCTGGAAAGAGGGACCCCAAGGATGAATGGTATCCCTTCAGCTGAAGCATCACCCTAGCTTGTGACTATTGGCTACTCACTTGCCCTGTCTGAGCTTCAGTTTCTTCCTCCAAACAATGGCCACCTGTTGGTGTCCCTGCCTGGGACACTCTCCCCTAGGTCACCACATGTTCCTGGAGTCTCTACTTCTTCCTCTAAGACACCATCCCTGGTCATACTGTCTATAGCAGCTATTCTGAGGCACCCCATCCCCTTTTACTACATTGCCCTGTCATTTTACTTCACATAAATAATTCATGTTCATAACAATCTTGCTATAGATGAGTGTGGTAACATACAGACACACACACACACACACACACACACACACACACCTATGCACACACACTCTTGCCTGAGGCAAGAGGATTGAGAGTTTGAGGCCAGCCTGGGCTACATAGCAAGACCCTTTCTGAAAAGAAAATCAAGACTCAGCTTGAAATAATCTTGCTGCCGTATTTGCCTGCTGGTCTCTTATCCACCTCTACCTGAGTGGGGTCTCTTCTATGTCACTGCCCTAGCTCCCTGTCCTTAATGAGGAGCCACCATGCACCTGGAATATCACAGATACTCAAAAGGTGTTTGTTGAATGAATGAGTAAAGGAGAGATTCCAACCCAGACTCATTATTGTGCAATAATTATATATTAGTTTACCTCTCTATTACTGATAAAACACTGACCAAAACCAACTTGGAAAGGAAAGGGTTTATTGCATATTACACTTTGAAATAATAGTCCATCACTGAGGGAAGTCAGAGAAGGAAATCAAGGCAGAAACCTGGAGCAGTAACTGAAGCAGAGACCGTGGAGAAACACACTTCTTATATAACCCAGGCCCACACCCCTAGGGATGGCACTTCCCATGGTGGGATAGGCCCTCCTATTTCAATTAAAAATTAAGAAAATGCCCACAGACCTGGCTACAAGCCAGTCTGATAGAAGCAATTCTTCAACTGAGGGTCCTTCTGCCCAGGTGACTCTAGTTTGTATCAAGTTGACAAAAACTAACCAGCTCAAACTGTATGTGGATGGCTCTTAGGGTACTCATGTGCTCCCTCAACATAGGCTTTTAGAATGGGCAAGTGTCAGATGGGCACTATGCTAGGCACTTTACCTATATTTCCTCATCTGAGTCTTGCCTGCATGCCCTTTGTACAGAGGAGGAAACTGAGACTCCCTGAGGCTCAAGAACTTGCTCCAGGTCATAAAACAAGCAAGTAGAGCTAGGAGATGAGCTGAGGTCCAAGGCTTTCCAGCAGGAGTTTAGTCCACACCAGACCCTCCAGGGCCCCCATGCTCCTCCACTCCCTCCCCTACCACAGCCCTCTGAGCAGGTGTCTCCATATCGTAGGCCTGGTGATGTCAGCAATCACGGTCATCATCCTGGTACTCTACTTCACTGTGGACACCTTCGTGGTCAACAAGAAGCCATGGCTGCCAGAGTGCACACCTGTCTACGTGCAGTACTTTGTCAAGTTCTTCATCATCGGCGTGACGGTGTTAGTGGTTGCTGTGCCCGAGGGGCTCCCTCTGGCTGTCACCATCTCACTGGCCTATTCTGTGAAGGTAAGAGGGAAGAAGATCAGGGCCAGGTGGCTGATGCAGCCCCACACAGGCATCTATGGGGAATGCCAGGGTTGCAGTGCTAGAACTAGAAGATGGGCTAAGAAGTGTGTGGCTGTAACAGGAACTCAGAGAGCAGATACAGGCAGGTCCCCCAAACTCACATGCCTTCAGAAGCATAGTGCAAACCAGAGATCTAGGCTCTGGCCACAGGGACCCCCATTATTCAGCCCAGCCAAGCATTTCCTCACAAGAATGCAGCCTGGGGAGGGGGTGGAAAGATGACTCGGCAGGTAAGAGCACTGGCTGCTCCTATAGAGGACCCAGGTTCAGTTCCCAGCACCCACATGGTGGCTAACAACCATCAGCAACTCCAGTTCCAGGGGATCTGATGCCCTCTTCTGGCCTCTGCAGGCATTGCATGCATATGATGTACTTACATACATGCAGGCAAAACACATACACATAAAATAAAAATAAATATATCAAAGAAGTTTCTCTAAAAAACAAAAAAAAAACAATGCAGCCTGGGGTTCCAGGCCATCAGTGCTTTCCAAAAGGAAGCCTGAAATCTGGACTTAATATAAAATCTCCAGATTTATATTAATAATCCACTCAAATTTACAAAATAAAGTAGGGCTAGAGTATAGTTCAGCGATAGATTGACATGTATGAGATCCAGAATTCAAACCCTCAGCACTGTAAAAAGTTAAACATAGGCATTACTGTGCGAACCAGAACCTGATGCTGCCCTACCAAACCTAAGTGGAAGTCAGTTAGTCACAGTTACAGATCCTCAGGGAGATTTTGTAAAATGGATTTGTACAATGGATCTCAGAAGTCACACTCTAAGGCATGAAAGAGCTGAGCCAAACCACAGCGGAAGCCCTCTCCCCTTAGATTAGACAGGGCCTGAAAACATAAAAAGTTTTACGAGCAGTTAAATGGAGTGCCAACCAGGTAGTTCCTGCAAAAGCAGGGGCTACCAGGAAGCCGACAACTGCAAGTCTGTCTCTTTGTGGGCCACCACTAGGCTGTCCCATCAGCTCATCTCTTCCTTTCCCTATCTGGTTGGGCAAGACCCTGGACTGACGTTTTCCAGGGTTGCAATGCCAGGAGCCAGGATGTTGCTGCACGAAAGCATTTGCTCTGAGACATTGGCAGTGCTGCCAGACGACTGGGCAAGTGTCAGTTTCCAAGCTGGAATTTGGACTGGGTTCTGTGATGTAATTTCATACAGAGACCTCTCCCAGCAGGTGCCAGCAAGTGGCAGCTCTGGGTAAAGGGATACCACCCTTATCGGCTCCCTGCTTGACAGTCCTCAGAAACACAATAAACCAAAGCTTAAGCAGGTTACAAGACGTTGCTCCCTAGAGGCCTAGGGCCTGGTGAGGGCAACTCTTGCATGGATGTGAGCAGGTCCCTCCTGAACTTGGAGTCTCTGTGCAGGTTAATGGAGCTGGTTTGGGGGAATCATGAGAAATTTGAGCCCCAAGGATCTTATGCAGTTTTTACCTCTGGCACTTTTGGTCATCTTAGGTCATATGACTGGCACAGATACTTGATAAACAGTGAGGCCAGGCCTTCCTCTCTGAGTTTGGCCCTGAGTGCCACCATCAAGGGCATAATGATGACCACTTAGGTTAGTGCTGCCCAGCTGAGACACAGTGCAAACAAGGCATATTATTTTAAATGTTTTAGTAGCCACCTTTTAAAAAAAAAAAAAAAAGATGAACTGGAGAAATGACTCAGTGGGTAAAGTGCTTGCTACACAGGTATGAGAATCTAAGGTTGGATCCCCAGCACCCATGTGAAAGCCAGGCCTGGAGGCTTGAACTTAAGACACCAGCACTGGGGACGGAGACAGGTGGATCCTAAAGGAGAATGAAAGTCTTGCTTGAGGGCCAGTCTAGGGAGAGACCCTATCTCAAAAAATAAAGTGGAAAAGATGTCCCAGTGGCAGCCTGTAACATCCACATGCACTTGCATAGGCAAGTGTACCCACACATACACACACATGCACATATATACACCAGAGAGTGTATAAAAAGAGACTGGGGATATAGCTTCATGATAGAGTGCCTGCCTAGCATGAATAAGGATCCAGGTTTGATCCCCAGCACCACATAAACCAGGCATGGTGGCGCACACCTATACCTTATCACTTAGGACATGGAGGTAGGAGGATCAGAAATTCCAGGTCATCCTCATCTGCATAACAAGTTCAAGGCCAGCCTGAAATACATGAGCTTCTGTCTAAAAATAAAATAAAGTGGAACAGGTACCATTAACTTTAATAACACAATTTTTCTTAACCCTTATGTCCAGATTATTATCAATCCAACATGTGATCAGTACAAAAATGACATATGGGACTGGAGAGATGGCTCAGCCATTGCTCTTGCAGAGGATCTGGTTTCAGTTCCCAGCACCCACATAGCAGCTAACAATCATCCATAACTCCAGTTCCAGGAGATACGACTCCCTCTTCTGGCCTCTGTAGGCATTGTTGGCACATGGTGCATGTACATACATGCAGGCAAAATACACGTAAAATAAAAGTAAATCAAAATTTTAAGCTATAAAATCACAAAAATGACACACCTCCTTTGTATGTGTCCTCACATCTTCAACACCCAATGGGTCTCTCATACTTACACTTTGGGCCACATTTCAAGAGTTCATCAGCCCCCAGTGACTACCATGTTGGACAGTACCAATGAGAGATTCTTGTTTTGGTTTGGTTTGGTATTTTGGGTGTGTGTATATGAGAGAGAGAGAGAGAGAGAGAGAGAGAGAGAGAGAGAGAGAGAGAGAGAGAGAAAGAGACTCGCTGTGTAGCCCAGGTTGACCTTGAACTCACAGCAATCATTCTGCCTCTATCTCCTGAGTGCTGAGGTCACAAGCATGAATCACCCCCCGCCCCCAAGCTTACAACAGGGATTCTTTTTTTAATAAATAATTCATTGAGAATTTCATACATGCATATAAGGTGTTTTGATCAAATCCATGACAACTCCCTCCCCTCTAACTCCTCCCATATCTC